ACCAGCTCTCCAGGTGTTCCACCTCCTGCCTGTAGCTGGACTCATCATTGTTTGTGATGCATCCCACCACCACTGTATCATCTGCAAACTTTACAATGTGACAGCCTGGATGGGTCTGATGCGTCCGCTAAATTTGGTCACTTTTGGGATATGTTAAGGCCCCCAAAACGCCAATTCATTTGGCGGAAAAAATTACAGCTCGGTCCTGAACAGAGCGAATACAATAGGCCTTAGTAGCACTTCGCTGCTCGGGCCTAACAAGACAAAACCGAGAAACCACAATAACAAGCACCATATATAATGATACTTGTTTCATCATTAGAAATTATTTTAAACAGTACATGTAATACAAGATGTATTAAGTAGCCTCCACAACCCAATTGAATGTGTTTCTGATGAACACCTGAATCTAAACACCTGTGTGAGCATGCTTGTCACTATAAGGTTTCTCCATAAAAATGTTCAATAGTGGATGTGGGGACCCACAGACCCGTCCCCACAGGACACTATGGTAACACAGGGAAGACCGGAGCTATAGACACACAGCGGTCACCAAGCCCGGAGCTCCAGGAGTCCCCCAACAGGGACACCCGCACCCTCCAGAGAAAGAAGCAAAGGGAAGCCCCGGGCGATCCCCCGCAACCATCCATCCATCCATCCATTTTCTTCCGCTTATCCGGGGTCGGGTCGCGGGGGTAGCAGCCTAAGTAGGGAGGCCCAGACTTCCCTCTCCCCAGCCACTTGGGCCAGCTCTTCCGGGGGAATCCCAAGGCGTTCCCAGGCCAGCCGAGAAACGTAGTCCCTCCAGCGTGTCCTTGGTCTTCCCCTGGGCCTCCTTCCGGTGGGACGTGTCCGGAACACCTCACCAGGGAGGCGTCCAGAAGGCATCCTAAACAGATGCCCAAGCCACCTCAACTGGCTCCTCTCGATGTGGAGAAGCAGCGGCTCTACTCCGAGTCCCTCCCGGATGATCGAGCTTCTCACCCTGTCTCTAAGGGAGAGCCCAGACACCCTGCGGAGAAAACTCATTTCGGCCGCTTGTATCCGAGATCTCATTCTTTCGGTCACAACCCAAAGCTCGTGACCATAGATGAGGGTGGGAACGTAGATCGATCGGTAAATTGAGAGCTTCGCCTTTTGACTCAGCTCTCTCTTCACCACGACAGACCTGTACAGCGCCCGCTTCACTGCAGACGCTGCACCTATCCGCCTATCGATCTCACGCTCCATTTTTCCCTCATTCGTGAACAAGACCCCAAGATACTTGAACTCCTCCACTTGGGGTAGGACCTCCTCCCTGACCCAGAGAGGGCACTCTACCCTTTTCCGGCTCAAGACCATGGCCTCGGATTTGGAGGAACTGATCTTCATCCCGGCCGCATCGCATTCGGCTGCGAACCGCTCCAGTGAAAGCTGTAGATCACGATCTGATGAAGCCAATAAGACCACATCATCTGCAAAAAGCAGAGACGCAATTCTGAGGCCACCAAAACGGATCCCCTCAACACCTTGGCTGCGCCTAGAAATTCTGTCCATAAAAGTTATGAACAGAATCGGTGACAAAGGGCAACCTTGGCGGAGTCCAACTCTCACGGGGAACAAGCCCGACTTACTGCCGGCGATGCGGACCAGGCTCTGACACCGGTCATACAGGGACCTAACAGCCCGTATCAAAGGGCCTGGTACCCCATACTCCCAGAGTACCCCCCACAGGGCCCCCCGAGGGACGCGGTCGAAAGCCTTCTCCAAGTCCACAAAGCACATGTAGACTGGTTGGGCAAACTCCCACGCACCCTCCAGGACCCTGCTGAGAGTGTAGAGCTGGTCCAGTGTTCCACGGCCAGGACGAAAACCGCACTGTTCCTCCTGAATCCGAGGTTCGACTATCCGACGGACCCTCCTCTCCAGAACCCCCGAATAGACCTTACCAGGGAGGCTTAAGAGCGTGATTCCCCTGTAGTTGGAACACACTCTACGGTCCCCCTTTTTGAATAGGGGGACCACCACCCCGGTCTGCCAATCCAGGGGAACTTCCCCCGATGTCCACGCAACATTGCAGAGTCGCGTAAGCCAACACAGCCCTACAACATCCAGAGCCTTAAGGAACTCTGGGCGGATCTCATCCACCCCCGGGGCCCTGCCACCGAGGAGCTTTTTAACCACCTCGGTGACCTCAGCACCAGAGATTGGAGGGCCCGACCCAGAGTCCCCAGGCTCCGCTTCCTCAGTGGAAGACGTGCCGGTGGGATTGAGGAGGTCTTCAAAGTATTCCGCCCACCGACCCACAACATCCCGAGTTGAGGTCAGCAGCAAACCACTCCCACTATAAACAGTGTTGGTGGCATACCGCTTCCCCCCCCTGAGATGCCGGATGGTGGACCAGAAACGTCTCGAAGCCGTGCGGAAGTCGTTCTCCATGGCCTCTCCGAACTCCTCCCATGCCCGAGTTTTTGCCTCAGCAACCACCCGAGCCGCATGTCGCTTGGACTGCCGGTACCCATCAGCTGCTTCCGGGGTCCCACAGGCCAAAAAGGCCCGATAGGACTCCTTCTTCAGCCTGACAGCATCCCTCACCGACGGTGTCCACCATCGGGTTCGAGGGTTGCCGCCCCGACAGGCACCGACAACCTTGCGGCCGCAGCTCTGGTAAGCCGCCTCGACAATAGAGGCACGAAACATGGTCCACTCAGACTCAATGTCCCCCACCTCCCTTGGAACATGTTCAAAGTTCTCCCGGAGGTGGGAGTTGAAACTCCGTCTCACAGGAGACTCTGCCAGACGTTCCCAGCAAACCCTCACAATACGTTTGGGCCTACCAGGTCTGACCGGCATCCTCCCCCACCATCGGAGCCAACTCACCACCAGGTAGTGATCAGTTGACAGCTCCGCCCCTCTCTTCACCCGAGTGTCCAAGATATGTGGCCGTAGATCAGATGAGACGATGACAAAGTCGATCATCGAACTGCGGCCTAGGGTGTCCTGGTGCCAAGAGCACATATGGACACCCTTATGCTTGAACAAGGTGTTCGTTATTGACAATCCATGACGAGCACAGAAGTCCAACAACAGAACACCACTCTGGTTCAGATCAGGGGGGCCGTTCCTCCCAACCACACCCCTCCAGGTCTCACTGTCATTGCCCACATGAGCATTGAAGTCCCCCAGCAGAACAAGGGAGTCCCCAGAAGGTGCACTTTCCAGTACCCCCTCTAAGGACTCCAGAAAGGGTGGATAATCTGAACTGCCGTTTGGTGCATAAGCACAAACGACAGTCAGAACCCGTCCCCCCACACGTAGGCGGAGAGAGGCCACCCTCTCATTCACGGGGGTGAACCCCAATACACAGGCACCAAGTTGGGGGGCAATTAGTACGCCCACGCCTGCTCGGCGCCTCTCACCAGGGGCAACTCCAGAGTGGAAGAGTGTCCAGCCCCTCTCAAGGAAACTGGTTCCAGAGCCCGAGCCATGCGTAGAGGTGAGTTCGACTATTTCTAGCCGGAACCTCTCAGCCTCACACACCAGCTCAGGCTCCTTCCCCACCAGTGAGGTGACATTCCACGTCCCAATAGCCAGCTTCTGTAGCCGAGGATCAGACCGCCAGGGTCCCCGCCCTCGGCCACCACCCATCCCACATTGCACCCGACCCCTTTGGCCCCTCCCACAGGTGGTGAGCCCATGGGAAGGGGGACCCACGTCTCCTCTTCGGGCTGTGCCCGGCCGAGCTCCATGGGTAAAAGCCCGGCCACCAGGCGCTCGCCCACGTGCCCCACCTCCAGGCCTGGCTCCAGAGTGGGGCCCCGGTGACCCACGTCCGTGCAAGGGAACACTAGGTCCATTTGTGTTTTTCATCATAGGGGTGTGTTTGGGCTGCACTTTGTCTGGTCCCTCACCTCATCCCCCGCAACCACAATGCAGAAACCCCAGGAGGCTGCAGCAATGAGTCCACAAGCCCCGCCGGCAACCTGCCCCTCCAGAGTAGATCCGGCCATGGACACTGAGCCCTGAGTCCCGAGGTCATACCACACCCCAACAGAGGCCCAACAGAGACAGGGCACCCAGGCCCCGGCAGGCAGCCACCAGGGCGGGCATGCACACACTCCACCACTCAGCCCCAGATGCTGAGAGCCGCCAATGCACTGGCGGCAGGGGGGCCCACCACCGGAGGGGAGCATGACATGGGGAAGTAGACATGATTGGGGGGGGGGGGGTAAATGGGGGGCCCAAATTGATCCAAGAGAGGGGACCACCTAAAACCCAACTCGAGACATAAACAGGCACACAGAGATAGCCCGACAAACTGAACTGTGCAGTAACTACTCTGGTTATTCTCTTGGAAGTGGCAGCACAGATTCATGTTTACACTATCAGTTTCTGACATTTGAAAATGTTTCAGAGCCTTTCATGATCGTTTCTGAGATCCTTCCTACCTACAGCCATCAGTATCTATAACATCTCTTGAGATGAGGATCTCATGAGGATAACGAGTTTCAACAACAAATAATTTCCCTTTGGGATTAATAAAGTATTTTTGAATTGAATTGAATTGAATGTCTGTTGATGTAGCTTTAACATGCAGCATGAGCTCACTTCCTGCAGGGATGTTCTAATGTTTGTTCTGAAGCATCTGTGTAATATAATTTCTGGGAAATGTAAAGTTATCTACATGAACCACTTTTACATGTTGAAGGTAGATGTTTTACGTTTTAGAGCTTTTTAAAAATTTGTCAGCTCAGACTGGCTCCTGTGAGCTCATCAGTACAGCCTGAAAGAACACACTTCTCTTATATCCTTTACCTTTATAAATCTGATATATTTTATAGCACTTAATTCTAATACTGATTTATAATCTTTTACAGTAATGCACTTTGACATAATACATTTAATTAGGCAGAAATATAGTTAGATTGCTGTCTGTATCATTGGTAAGAGGGGCATTTGTTACTGTGAGCACAGCCTGTTTGCAGGTCATGTGATGGGTTCTCCATCTCTCTCTGACCCGTTCAGTCTCTGAACCCAACCTGAAGGTGCGCTCTCGGTTGAAGCAGAAGGTAGCAGAGAGGCGCAGTTCGCCTCTTCTCCGCAGAAAGGATGGAACCATCATCAGCACCTTCAAGAAACGAGCCATTGAGATTTCAGGTAATGTTGTTATTAATAACAACTGCCAACAACAGGCAGAATGTTTTGTTAGTTTTTTTGTCTTTTAGCAAAATATCTCCTGAACATTTGGATATATTTTAAAGTTAATTTTAACTGATAAACATTCAGAGTCAACTTGATGAAAGATGGCTGCCACAGCTAACTGACCTCAGCTAATATAAAAATGTCCAAACACGAACAGTTTTCCTGATAGTGAACCAAAATGAACAATTATTAAATCGAGAGGTGGAAGGAATACTTTTCGGATCTTTTCAATCCCACAGAACGTCTTCCATGGAGGAAGCTGAGTGGGAATTTTGAGGTTGGTCTGTCCATAACCGTGGCTGAGGTTGCTGAGGTAGTTGAAAAGCTACACAGTGGCAGAGCTTTGGGGTGGATGAGATCCACCCATGATTTCCTTAAGGCTCTGGATGTTGTGAGGCTGTCTTGGTTGACATGCCTTTGCAACATCGCCTGTACATCGGGGGCAGTGTCACTGTATTGGCACACTGGGGTTTTGGTTCCCCTCTTCAAAAAGGGGGACCGGAGGGTGTGCTCCAATTATAGGAGCATCACTCTCCTTAGCCCCCCTGGTAAGGTCTATTTAGGGGTACTGAAGAAGTGAGTCTGATTGTTGGCTGAACCTCAGATCCAGGAGGAACAAAGCAGATTCTGTCCTGGCCATGGGACACTGAACTTTACCCTCACTAGGGTCCTCGAGGGGTCATGGAAGTTTGCCCATCCAGTCTACATGTGTTTTGTGGACTTGGAGAAGGCATTTGACCGTGCTGCTCGAGGTACACTGTGTGTGTGTTTGTGTGTTTGTGTGTGTGTGTGTGGAGTTCCTCTGTGAGTATGGGATTGGGGGCCCATTACTACAGGCTGTTCAATCCCTATGCAAACAGTGAGAGTGTTTGGTTTGCATTGCTGGTAGTAAGTCAGACCCCTTTAGGGTGGGAGTTGGACTCCATTGTCACTGATTCTGTTCATACCATTCATGGACATAATTTCTCAGTGCAGCCAGTGGGTGGAGGGAGTCTGGTTTGGTGGCCTCAGGATTCCATCTCTGATATTTGTGATTGATTTATGGTAGAGACTATGTCTCTGTTGCTATAGCGGTGCACAGAAGTGCAGCGGCTTCTCATGCTTCCAGGATTAAGCCTTATTTTAATTATTTTAATTTCTATGAGGCTGTTGTAGGCATTAGTTCAGTGCTAGATTCACGGCTCAAGTACAGCTCAACCGAACTGATGGCCATCAGAGACAGTTCGGTTATTAATATTTCACCAAGGCTGAAATCTGCACTCAGCAGACAGCGGCTCCTGAGGACAACGGAATGGCGCAGCAAAGTGCGAGGAGCAACGATCAAGAAGAAACAATGTGCTTGGAAACAAAAGAGGGGGAAGTGGGCGGGCGCGTTGGCCCAGCTAAAGGCTAGAAGGCCACTAATTCCTCCTCTCTTTCTGGCCAATGTCCACTCACTGGATAATAAAATAGACTTGTTATATCTGAGGATGAGTATTTCTAAAGAGATGAAGAACTGTGCTGTTCTTTGCCTAATGGAAACCTGGCTTAATAACAACATGCCAGACTCAACTTTCCAGATCCATGGTCTTCAGTTATTCTGAGAGGGCCGCAACCATAAGTCGGGTAAAACACAGGGGAGGAGGGTGAAGGACTCTGTATGTTCGTGAATGAAGATTGGTGGACGAACAGTGGAGTGGTAAAAAGCTGCTGCTCTGAGGCGATAGAACTTATGACTGAAATGTCGGCCATTCTATCTGCCACAGGAGTTTACTGCAGTGTTCGTCACCATTGTTTACATCCCACCACGTCAAAGGAGCTGTATGACACCATTAGCTCACTGCAGGTAAAGCACTCAGAGGCGTTTGCGTGGTTGTGGGGGACTTTAACCACGTGAAACTTATGGACACTCTGCCCAGTTTTTACCAGCATGTCCCCTTTCCTATGCAGGGAAACAACACTCTGGACTTATCCTGATACATTCTCAATAATCCAGGTAGAAAAATCTAAAAAAGTTAAATCTGGTCCTCTGGACATTCAAAAAACAAAACAAAGCCAAACAACAACAACAACAAAAAAAATGTAGAAATGTTTTGTCTTTCATCCGAAAGACTTCCTCAGTCTGAGGTGCTGTATTCAGCTCAGTCTTATAATTAGCACCTTCTCAGAGTGGATCAACCAGTTTGCTGCTGACAACCAAAACCAGCTGCTCACATGATCAAGAAGGACCATCAGAATGACCACTGGTCTTTGGTCTGGGCTCCTCCTTTTCACCTGATGGCTGACTGGAGTCCTGTTTGGGTTTCTTCTCTGCTTTCAGGAAGGCCCAGTTAGGATATCCACATTGCTCTAGAGCCTGTCTTGTGTGGGATTTCTCCTTCTGCCTGGCTCCTGAGCTAGTGGGGACGCTGTCTGCTCTGTGGTACAGAGTCCTGATGACTCCTAACTTGTGCTCCAAAGGGTGATGAGAATCAAACAGTCTGGACTGTGTGTGCACTAACATCTATTTTATTTCATAATGCTTTATTTATTTATTTAATTTTGAGCATTTTGGTGTTCCATAGTGATCAGCCTGAAGAGCTTCTCTTATATCACTTCTTAATGGTTTCAATTCTGTTTCTCTGTTTTGTTTTTCTCTTCAGTCTCTTCTCTCTGTAACAGCGCACCAGGTTCTGGTCCCAGCAGTCCCAACAGCTCCAACACAGCCATCTCCAATGGCAATACAAGTTCTGTCCCCAACATACAGACCGAGGTACAGTCTGAGCACAAATCTTAAGTCTGTCCCCTGCTGGTCACTGCAAGTCAAGCTTGTTCCTCTGAGCTCATAAAAATAAATATGATAATAAAGTCCTATGGTAATTATAAGCGAATATTAAATGGTCACAGAAGAAAACCATCCTGCTTATATCATCTTTTAGCATCACAATCACGTTTCTGCATCCTTGTTGGACATGCATTCTGTTCAGAAGTCTTCATGAATCATTCAGTCCGTCCAACGAGCCAAAGTCAGTGTTTAAATTTGTCTTAATCATGGCTGTTTAAAGGTCTTTCAGAGTTTTTTCTTTAGATTTGTCTGCTAATTCACCTGGCTTTACTACAAATTATTTGTGTCCCCTTTTGTGGAGGGAAAAAGGGGAATTGGAAATGCCTTCTGTCTGTCTGTCCTTTATCTCATCTGTAAGTCCATTCGTCTGTGAATGTGAGTGTTATAACTTGAAAAATAAAATAATTTGTTTTTAGTTCATGGCTGAAGCTAGGTGTAAGAAAGGTCCCTTTCCAAAAAGGAAACTCAAAAATCACTTCAAAAATCCAAGATGACTACCATATTTGTCATTTGAAGAAATTATGCTTTTCTAGTTTTTGTATTGCTTAACAGTATAGTTTTCTCAAATGAATGGGGTGGACGGCCAAGACCACCATTGGGCACCCCCTGGCTCCACCCTTGCGCCTTGTAACAAAGGTTTAACTCCTACCCACTTGAATATCTCGTACCAAAAACATTAAGGTTTCCTTCATTCACTGTTCAATTCCAGTCCCAAAAAACACTCATTGCCAAAACACAATCAATTTCAAATCTCTGTGATGGGGGACATTGGTGCACTGCTTGTTAAGATATCTTTTTATTTTTCTAATCTTCTTCTATAAGTTGTTAAAGTAATAAAAGTGACAGAACTCAGCAGTTTACCATTGCTGTTGACAAAGAATCATTTTGAAACTGCGATTAGATATTTTACCAGAAGCCTGTGGAAAAGACATGTCATTTTATTTAATTAGTCATGTTCAGACTTTCGCATACTTTTGTGATTTCAATTTTTCTGTAACGGGATCCCTTTTCCTTCAACTAGTTTGCACTCACAAACATTGAAAACATGTGTTTGTGTATTTTATTGTGTTTTTGTTTGTTTTTTCATTCTCCTTGCATCTGTCTAAATGTTTTCATGTCTTCCTATTTGTTGTCTTTTTACAACCTTTCATTTTTATTAATATTTGAAGTTTTACACCCAATATATGGAAATGACCAACATGCTTTCCCATTCACTGTTAAATGAGTTTTATATTATTTTCCATTGTTTCAGCTAGCAGCTTTCTTAACAGTGTATATTTATTTTTTATGTAACAAATATCTAATCAAGATAAATCCATGTTGTTGATGTGATTGCATTAGTATAAAACAAGTGTAGAACTGAAGACAGATTTAATGTCCATGTCTTTGTCTACAGTTGAGATCTCTCCATCAGACTCTGGGGACAGAGGGGACACTGAGTCCTCTGAGTCTCTACACCTCACCCTCCCTGCCCAACATCTCTCTAGGCCTCCCTGCCAACACACACATTCCGGTGGGTTAATCTCTTATTATTTACCTCCACAGGTTTACACTTACACACTGCAGTCCTCACTTCTAAAGACAGACAGACAGGCAGGCTTCTACACAAAGACAGGTTCTTAAAGACAAGCAGGGTTCTTAAAGACAAGCATAGTTCTTACAGACAAATAGCTTTCTACAAATAGACAGGCAGAGTTTCTACATTCTCCAGACAGATAAGGTTCCTACATGTAGACGACTTCCTACAGATATACAGGCAGGGTTCCTGTAGACAGACAATTTTCCTCTGACAGACAGGGTTCTTATAGACCAGTGATTCCCAACCTGGGTGGCCCTGTGGTTGCCCAATCTATTGCGGAAGCACAATTCCTATTGTCAACAATACTTGTGGGCCCACGGGTGATGTAGCGCTGCTTCACTTCACCATGAAGTGGCACTGTTTCACCATGGAATAATTATAATATTAATTTATAATCATTGTGCTTTATTTCAGTGGTAATGAAGAGTTGTGTAAATAAAAACAACCATTTTATGCTGGCTTTGATTAAGTAATCTTTCAATTGATTTGATTAATTATTAATTAATAATTTAGCATCCGATATACTGTGTATAAAAATTTGTTTTGCTTTAATAGATTTCTTTTTTTAAAAAAAGAAAGAAGGGAAACAAGAAACAGTTTTACTTTTGGTCAGCAGAGGTTTATTCTTCATGAAGCGGCACTGTTTCACCATGGACATAATTATAATATTGGTTTATAGTCATTAAGAAATGACCACAATTTAAATGCGTGCTTTATTTCAGTGGTAATGAAGAGTTGTGTAAATAAAAACCACCACTAGATGGCTGGCAAAAAACCCCAACAAAAACGAGTTTTATATATATATATATATATATATATATGTAGTATGACAATATACGAGATATATATGCATACAATATTCACGAGTTCCTCATCTTTCTGACTGTGTAATGTCGTGCATTGAATTTAACAGAAATGTAACGAGAGACGTTATTTATCTTTGACCCATCAAAATGAATGCGGTCATTTATTTTCAGAATCAAAATTTAACATCAAACATTTACATTAATTTGGCAAAATATGAAAATAATAACAGACAAGTTTCACAGAAAATGAACTTCAATCACGCGGCGGTGACTGAGGACTTTGCTTCAGATATTTCTAAAATATCTGTACTGATTTTATGAGATAGAGGAGAGTTTTAAGATGAAATGGAGATTTATCTTACAGAGAGATATGTGAGGGAATTAATCTGTTTGACCAGAAATTGCACGCTCCATCAGATATCAGCTTGCCCACGGTACACTTGGTCGAAAATAGAACCCTCTACCTGTTGATGATGAAATCAGCGTCGGAGCAGGTTCCTTTCTGACTCTTTTCAGCGTCTCCGTGAGAACTGCCAAACCCTCAAAGAGTCGTACGTGGTGTTCAAACAGAAATTATAATCCCAAAACGTCTCTGGATCATCCTGAACGCGTTTGCACCCAAGAACTCTGAACTCCTTTCATTCTTCAGAACTTCTCAGACTCTAACAGAATCTTTCAACTCCAGCAACTCTCTAGTTCTTCATCTCCTCAGCCTCTGGAATTCTCTGGAATTCTCTGGAATTCTCCTGAATTCTAACATGAACTGGGAAGTTGCCACATTTTAAATGGGTCGACTTCCGGTTCATTTGAGAGCTTTTGATTGGTCGATGGACCAGGAATAGAGGTGTGGTGTATGATGTAAGATGTTATTAAAAATCAAGGATTGTTTAGTAACGAACAGAAAGATTATTGTAGGACTTCAGACTTCGTGGAGTCTCACACTTGTAATCTTCTGCAAAAGTTTAAACATGACATCTTTCTCGGTAAACATTTTAGTTGACCGAAAACCGACCTTTAACATACTTACATTGCAGACAGAAAAATCAAGAAATGCATATTAACCTGATTTCTTCTTTGAATGAGGAATAAAAATCATTACTTACTGTTTATGTAAAATAAAAATGAGTAGTTCTCTTCAACCTGTAAGCATTGAGTGAACTAACACAATTTTGATTATCAAACATTTGTAAAACAGTGATGATCATAGAGAATTGTCTTTTCTGCTTGATTAATTCAAGAAAGAAAGTCACCAGATGGCTCAGACTGTATTCAGATCAATGAAATAACAGTCCCTGTCCATCTGATAGATTTGAGGTCATCAGGGTCAGATCAGGGTCAGATCAGGTTCACTACAGTCCCCCCTTTGGAAATCATCACCTGTCCATGGGGATGAATTCCAACCGTGAACTTAGACCTTCAAATGTCCTTGAGCTTGATGTAATCCAGCAAGGAAGACCAAAGTCAAAAGTAATCCAGCAAGGAAGACCAAAGTCAGAAGTAATCCAGCAAGGAAACAAAGTCAAGGTAATTCCACAATGTTCTTGGTATTCCATTGTGTTGATTATAAT